GGGAACGGGGACCGCGGGGGCCCGGGGCGCCAGCCGGGAGGGGGCGGCCCCTCTCAGCTCGCGCTGCGGCGGTGGGGACAGGAAATGGAGCCTGTAATTTCGCCTGCCGAGAAGAGGGGGGCATGGCCGAAAGTGTTCTTTTCGGTTGGGTTTCGGCCTCCCTGCTCTTGCGCCGCAGCATTCGTAGAACCCTGGAGGGCCCGCCTAGGTGTGCTCGGCGCCGGAGAGAGACGGGGGAAAGGGGTGGAGGATGGGTTTGGTGGGTGCACCAGGTGCTCGAGTGTGGGGAGGCCGTTTTAGACGTGTTCGCGGGAATTCCTGTTAGTGACACTGCATCCATGCAACACCAGAAAAGCCTGTCAAAAAAAAAAGGGGTGTGGAGAGCGTTGGCGCCAGCTGGAAGCTCCAGAGGCCCGAGCTTTTCATCCCTATTAGGGAAATGAGGTAGCGTGCTGTTTCATAAGGTGTCCTCTCCCCACCTCTGCGCTCCTTATGCACAAGTGAGTGTGCGGGGTCGCCTTGAGCCCCAGGGAGGCTCGACGGCGGTGCTTTATCGGAAACACACCCTTAAAAAACCACCATCAGCCGTATGATTGGACTTTTTTCTCTTCCCTGCTGCAGAGAATAAAATCAGGAGCATTGGCATCTTGGCGACCAAGATCAAGTGACTGAGTAAAAAGGCTTCAGCATCAGAAAAAGACAAATTGTTACGCTTCCTTTTCAGACAGGGCTGTTTTCGTTTCAAATGTAGGTTAGTCATACAGTTTGCAGAAAGTTGATTGTGTGGGGTTTTTTTTGAATCGGTGTCATTGATACATAGCGATCTGACTGGTAAAACGTGGAGACTGATTGAAAATGAGATCATAATGTAATGATCACTCCTTAAAGTTCACAGTGATGTTTTTTTATAAATGTGTGTTGCACGCTTTGTCCCATAAAGGCTGTTTTAAGAAAACAAAATGGAATATGAGGCAGTTTTAGCATTGCTGATCTAAAGGTAGCTATTAAGGTCATCGGAAATATGTTTGAATTAGAATGGTTGAGTTTTTAATTTCAGTTTTTACAGAAGGCTTTGGAGTGTGTATCAACAGTAGTGTTACTTCTTCCTTGATGTTTTTGTCTGCAGCAAAGCTTTGAAATCTAAGCGTAGCCTTCAGATAACTCGAGTTCAGCTGTGATCTCTCAGCTTTGGAGAATTGTTTCTAGGAAAGTGGTTTTGTGGATGGAATTTATACTACTTTTACTGAGGAATTTGAGGTGGTTAGTATTTTAAAGCTATTCTAATTGGTTACATCTGAAATTTAAAAAGTTATATAGGTGCCTGCAAGTCTGGACATAAGCAGGCTGCCGTGTCAGACTTGTTATTTGTGGTGTGTAAACATCTATGTGTGTTTCCTAAATTCTTTGAGGATGTCATGTTTTGGAAACCAGAAAGGTCTGGAATGACTGACATCAAATAAGCATTTTCAGAACCAAATTCTAAGTTAAAAGTATGGAGTACACAAATGGCCCTTCAAGTGAAATGACTGTTAAGAGGAATTTTATGGTCTTTTAAATTATATTTACATGATTTTTTCTCAGAGTGAGTTCATTGTTGTCAGTTCTGAATACAAGCATTGTATTTTTCTTTAAGATGCTGTTTCTTAGATTTATATGAGGAATATGTTTATTGATGTTCTAGTTGGGTTTTTTTTTTAGTACTGACTAGATAGTAACTTTATAATGTGATTTTCATTTATATGACAAATGCTGAGGATTTTATTGAGGAAAACAAAAAATTGAAGCAGAAGGTTTTTCATTGTCCTCAGGGTAAACTTTACAGTGAATATCTTTCCCTTTTAATTGTTCATAGGGTTGCTGTGAGTTGTAGTCAGCTCATCAGTACATAACAATAACTTGATTTTCTGAATTTTGTATTTAACTGAATTAAAATTCTGTTGTAATCAATTAAGACAGATGTCATAAAATGATATCACGTACTTGTGTTGACTGTAGATCGAATTGCAAACACAAATGCCCTGATTTACAGTAATTTTACAGTAACTCTCATTTTTTCAGGTTGGAGACGTCTCAGAGTTGGCTCTCTAGTGAGTTTTCAGAGACTGGATTAAATTGCATGAGAGGAGATGCCTTTCTCCTGCAGGGCCACTGGTGGATTCTAATCACCACACTGTACAACTTTGGTTTAGCAGTGCAACTCCCGATAGACTGCATCACTAGAATTCCAAATTTCTAATATAGTCCAAATTTCTATGCCAGTCAAAAAAAAATTAGGAAATGATACTTAGGAAAATACTAAATATACTGCACACCTCCTTACTTACGTAGTTAGGTTTCAAAGATAGACGAGGTTGTTACGAAGCAAGATGGTGGATGGCTACATCATTACATAATTGAAAAATCACTGAGAATCATGGCCCAGACAAGTTGACATATAATTATTGCAGGCAGTATTATTCTTGTGTTCTTACTGCCATGAAGACATGTTGTTGACATGCAAAATAGTTGGACAGTGGACATTTTATTACTGTAGAAAATGCAAAATGTTGAATACTGAGGTAAGTGAGAAGTTGATATATCTGTTTTAGGCGTATGCTTCCCCCCCCCCCTTTTAGGTGTTCTAAATTGACTACATAGATTACCACAATCAATTATCAGTTATCCATCCATATATCATTGAGTAAACAGTCTTAAGTCAGAAATTGAAAGTTAGCTATGAAGATGCCTAGGCAAGAGGAAAAGATCCTCCTTTCTTGAAAAAGAAAACATCTACAAAACTTACTCCTTCAATTTTCTTGTTATTAACAATGTTGTATTTATTTGTAGTTCTTTCTTTTTTAAAAAAAAATCCTTAGTCACAACTATTTTTGCATAAACAACCATTCTCTAGGATTGTTTGGATTAATGGACTATTGGTAACGTTATGCTGCAATCCGAAAAATCCCCAGTGGCTCCACGCAAGAAGGATGGGCAGTCTCCTCCTGTGCCATTTACTGCCTCTAAAAACCTGCTGGAGGCTCAGCTAAGAGTCATTTCTGATTTGATGGCATGGAACAACAGTATCTATGAAAGGAAGCTCTGGTGGCATAGCCTTGTGAGATGTTGTGCTGCTAAGGTGCCTCTTGTAGTTCAAATCCACCAGCCCCTCTTCCAGAGAAAGATGGACAGTCCTTTCCTGTGCAGTTTAGAGACCTGCTAAGGGATCAACAACTCTGAGTTAGTCCCAGCCCAATGGCAGTGAGAATGAATGTGAAAATACACACATACACACAAATACATGCTTAAAGTCCAGAACAAGTTCAGTTCTGATCATTCACTACTCACTCTTGTCCAGTCCATTCTGAGTCGTGGCAACCCTCTATCAAGTTTATGAGGCTGTAAATTAGGAGGAGGAGACTGCTGGTCTTTTTCCTGCGAGCTGCTGGTGGATTCAAACTGCCGGAAACGTGAAGACTTTGGGTTAAGAGCACAACTCTCTACAGATTACCCACTAGTGCTCCCGCCACCTGATGGAGGAAGGTTTACTGATAGCAAATTTGAAAGTTAAAAGAGTGAAAGCATAGTAGTCAGGGATGTTTAGTATAAGAGCTGATACCTTATGCACTCTAGCTAATCTTTGTGAGTCATTAAATGAAAAGTTAAATTGTAGTTCTTAGAAAAAGATACTGTGCAAAACGGTTTGGATTTTTTTTTTTTAAAACGAGAAGCAGGCTGTTTTTATAAGTGTAGTCTACTAAAGAGTCCAGTCTTTTGAGTTTTCTCCCTCGCTCTGTTGTTGTCAGATGCCACTGAGTTGGGTATGATTCATGGCAACCTTATGAACAACCGATCTGAACCCTGTCTTATCCTGTGTCATCCTCATTATCTGACATTCTTGAGACTTGCTATAGTCATCATGTCACTTCATCTCATTGGAGGTCCTTGTGTCTTTCACTGGCCCTCTACCTTTCCAAGCATAATGTTCCTTTCAAAGGAGTAGCCTCTCCTAGCAACATATCCAAAGTATGAGAGCCGAAGCTTCACCATCTTTGCTTCCAAGGACCACTCTGTTTGCACTTTTTTCCAAGACATATATCTGTTTGTTCTTTTGGAAGTTCATGGGATAATCCTTACTCGTCTTCAACATCACAACTTAAAGGCATCAATTCTTATTCCGTTGTTCTTATTCCGTGTCCCACTCTCAGATGTGTAACAGGTGATAAGAAGACAAGGTATTTGAATCAGGCACACCTTAGTCTTCAAACTGGCATCATTTCTTTTCATTATTTTGTAAAGATCTTTGACAGTGGATTTTTCCCAGTGTAATACCACTGTGATACTGATGTGTCAAATGTATTAATGGTTGGCTACCCAATGCGGACAGCTTGCCTGCGGAAACCTGATGAACCTGGAGGGAGAAAGGGCACCCAAGCGGCGAGGACTCTCTTTCATAGGGTTGCTATGAGTCGCCTGCTACTTGACGCACTTAACAACAACAACAATACATCTCCTGATCTCCTGACTGCTGGTGCCAAGGATGTGATTGACAACTTCATTTTTTTCCCTTCATCTGTCATAATGTCTTTCTTATAAATCCTAAAAAAATGATTGAATTGGCACATGTAAAAAGTAAAATTGGCCATATACTGAATGCATCCAATATCAAATTTAGGGCAAACAACAAAATAGCCATTGTATTAAGTATCAGAATGCCTGAGCTGATTCCAGCAGCCAATAAAATCTGTATAGGTTTTCTAATTTTTTTTTTTAATTTAGTTTGTTTATTTTTCATTTCACTGAACATCTACAGAGATTTTGGAATTCCATTCATTCATTGTTGCACCCTTCTCCCCGCACAAACCCCCCCCCCGC